TATACGGTTTTTGGCGTTTGCGTCACAATGCCATACGAAATAGGAGGACCGATTGACTAATTGTACCATGTGAAATTGCATACTACGGAAGGCGATTCGACACATGCATTGAGTGTCAGAGAATCCTTGTTTTCACTCACTTTCTGAAAACACTTCTGATACAGGCTGTCGGCATTGTAGTTGTATGTTCAGGCACTATGTTTTATACAGGGTGTATAAAGTCTATATAAACATGGGTCGAAAAATGCGTGGCTTCCGAAATACAGTGTGTTTAAATTTACTTTCTAAAACAGTTTTTTTAAAATATTTTGAACAATATTTGATGTATAACTGTGAAAATTGGTATACAAGGGTTTTTTGGTACGACAAAACGAACCATGGGCATAGTTTTACTGTAGCCGCTAGAGGCGCTCTCTACTGTACCTGTAGTGTATTAAAATGACCGAGAATTTTTTCTTAGTGCAATTTTTTGCTTTTTAAATAAAAAAACTGATTCTTCGTACTTTTCAACATAAAAAAGCTCTCTTGTGAATTTTCGTTATAGTTAGCCGTTTTTGAGATATTTCGATTTTTAAGGTTCGATGCATTTTTAATTATTTATGATACAATAACGTTAAAAAGTCTGTATCTCGATAATTTTTAGAAGTAGGCTGTGCCTGCAAATATTTTTGAAATTGAAAGCAGAATAAGGTTAAACGTCAGTTTTGTTGTCTGTTGAAACCTGAAACGTTTTTTTGCAATTGTGAATGCACGAAATTTAGTTTCTTTTACCTGTTTTTTTTCTAAGTTTTATAAAAATGCCATTTTTATTCTCCAATCAAGAGTTAGCGGATATTCACTTTGTGTATGGCTTTGTAAATGGAAACGCAGCAGAAGCAGCCAGAGAATACGCACGAAGATTTCCATACAGACGACATCCAACTCGCTCAGTATTTGTAAGAGTGCATCGCCAAATAATTGAAAATGGTTTTGGAAATCTCCAAAGGGATCAAAACATAAATGTTCGTCAGCGCAGATTTACCCGTATGATTCTGCGTGAGTTTGATAGAGATCCGACCACAAGTGTTAAGAGAGTTTCTGGTGCCTTGGGAATTTCAGCAAGCCATGTTCACCGTGTTCTTAGAAATTACCATAGACGTCCTTACCATTTGCAACCTGTGAAAGGACTACAGCCAGGGGACGGAGAACGAAGAATCACATTTTGTCAGTGGATTCTTGATAGAACTGATAATAATAGGGAGTTTTTAAGTAACGTTTTATGGACCGATGAGTCATGCTTCACTAGACGTGGGGTGGTAAATTTTCATAATCAACATATTTGGTCGCATGAAAATCCGCATGCAGTTCGGGAAAGAAATTTTCAGCATGAATTTAGTGTGAACGTGTGGATAGGTATCTACCGTAATCGACTATTTGGACCCTACCTTTTGCCTGCAAGGTTAAATGCTGCGACCTTCTTGGAATTTTTAAAGGCTGAACATGCAGATATGTGGGATGATGTTATGTTAGATTTAAGAAGATTGGCCTGGTTCCAGCTTGATGGTTGTCCAGCTCATTATTCGAGAATAGTTAGAAACTGGCTGGACGAAAATTATCCAGAAAGATGGATCGGCCGTGGAGAACTAGTCGCCTGGCCTCCACGATCCCCTGACCTAAATCCATTAGATTTCTTTGTGTGGGGATTTCTAAAAGAAAAAGTGTACCAGATTCCCGTAACCACAAGAGATATGCTAATAGACAGAATCAGGAATGCATGTGATGAAATAAGGCCTTATTTGAATAATGCTATACCACGTTCGATCATTCGTAGATGTGAATTGTGTATTGAACAATTGGGTTTACATTTCGAGCAACTACTTTAGATTTTATATGTTTGTCCTAACTATCCAATAGCATTTTAGTTGTAAATAATTAATTTAACTTGTTAAAAATAATATTGGAAAATTAAACAAATTAATATTCTGTTTTTTTGTGTTTATTTGGAGTTAGGAATTATTGCTGTGTTTAAAAACACAATCTAAACGATCATCTTAATTACTTGTAATGCCCAAATCGAAAATGTAAAAAAAAATATTATTTTCCCATAAATAATTAATAATGCATCGAACCTTAAAAATCGAAATATCTCAAAAACGGCTAACTATAACGAAAGCTCACAAGAGAGCTTTTTTATGTTGAAAAGTACGAAGAATCAGTTTTTTTATTCAAAAAGCAAAAAATTGCACTAAGAAAAAATTTTTGGTCATTTTAATACACTACAGGTACAGTAGAGAGGGCCCTCTAGCGGCTACAGTAAGACTACGCCCATGGTTCGTTTTGTCGTACCAAAAAACCCTTGTATACCAATTTTCACTGTTATGCATCAAATAGTGTTCGAAATATTTAAAAAAGAACTATTTTAGAAAGTAAATTTAAACACCCTGTATTTCGGAAGCCACGCATTTTTCGACCCATGTTTATATAGACTTTATGCATTAATTTTAAAAGTTCTATCGAATCTTAAAGTTGTGCAACAATAAACTGAAACACCCTGTATAGTAAATACAAATCACACGCTCATGACAAGTACGTTGTTTAACAGATAGTCACATGCATAAATTTGGACGTCTTAGACGTTGTCGATACATTTTTTATGGCGATGAGACAAAACTAAAAACGTAAGGCTTAAGTTAATACAAACAAATTTCCACACATAGAAGCCGATTTCATATGAATGTGTGAGGAAGATAGATGGACTAAAGTAAGTCCTGCAGTTTGACTATGATTCGCTAAGAGTCGTAAAAAGACCTATTCTTCTAAAATGGCCTTAGGCCTTAAATCTTGGAGAAACTTATAGTTCGACCTCTTTACAGGGCGGTATATTAGTACCTCAAAAAACAAAGACTGAGACCTTCAAAATAATGTCCATTGAATTAATTTTGCTGCTCAGTGTCTCAGAATAAGATGGTGATCTCTAGAATTAACACGCCCCAAAATTGGAATTTCTGTATGATTCAAAGAAACTTTGACAACATAGCAACCAGTTGCGACCTTTTATGAAGGTGTCCTCTGGAAACAATTATACAATGATTTGTAGGCAATGCGAATATTTCAAAAAGTTTATTTCCGTCTTCCGTTGTCTATACAACTTTTCTGATCACGACGTTTCGGATGATGTGGCATCTTTATTCGTCTTCAGGTGAACCCCACGTCATGATCTCAAACATTGTATAGAGAATGGAGAAATTAAACTCTTGAAATTCACTCATTAGATAGTCAGTGATTGACTAGTCCCAACTCAATAATTCTTTTTTTTTACGCCCCATATGATAATGACTCAAAATTAATGATTTTCGTAAGCCTGATCTGTTAGCTGAAAAAAGAAAGATGAATTATTGCTTGATTCCGATAAAAGGAGCAACACCTGAGAAAAAAGTCTTGCTGTAGCCCGTTTTCAACAAGGCAGGATGGAAAATTCTATATCGAAATATGTGTTAAAATCTAAGATCAAAGCCACCTCTAAAGGTCAAATGAAGATCAAATGTGTGAGGGGAAAAATTCAGCAGGATTATACGTATAGATGTAAAAACATCAAGATAAGAACTTTAGTAACTTTGGACAATTTAAATGTTGACCTTGGATTTGATCTTGAGCCTGACCTTCAAGGTAATAATATTACCTAAAAACTATTAGAACGTGAAAATTTCCATTGCGCGTGTCAAAGAGGGGAGTACCCAGGTTAAAGTAATAGACCTTGAAGGTAGCTTAGCTTCGTTAATTTATTGACCGCTGAAGATACAAAGTATATGTGACATAACAGCTGTACGTAAAATATGCATATAGATATAATAAACAGCACTAAGCAACTAAATACAGACGTTTCTGTGTGATACGTCTACAGATAGAATATTTTACATTAACAGTTTTAGTATCGTTTATCAATATTCTGTTACGCTGACGCCCTGCTGAGAATTGGTCTATTGCTGTTACCTCTTTTGAGTGAAGCTCATCTATAGCTCCAGGGAATAATGATATAGTGTTGCCATTTGCAAACATTGTAATATGTGCAGCATGCATAAAATTTGGCAAGTCACTAATTAATACCAAAAAGAGGAGTGGTCCTAACATGGACCCCTGCGGAACATCGAGTGCCAGCGAATGGCCTTCAGATGTCTATCTATCTATCTATCGGCTATATATGACAGAAATCAGTGCAAAAGAAAGTCTCGAATACCTGTGCTGTATAGCTTCTGCTTCAAGAGTTGTTTATCTCAATTAAAGGTTTTTGAAAAATCAAATAGCAACAAAACTACATATTGCCTATTGTCAAGATTTTTATAAGTTCTAGAAGAGGAGGATTCAAGGTTGAATCTAAGATCACCATTGAAATCCTTGTTAAAAGCAACTAAAGACCTGTCATTATTAATTCTGTCATCAATGATCCTGCTAAGCCTCTAGGAATTTTCCCTAGCCTTACATATTTGAAGTTCATTTGATCTTTAGAGGTGACCTTGATCGAAGATTTTAATAGCTATTCAGACTAGACTTTTCCCCTTTTTTTGATGTCGGTGTGAAAAAGGGGCTTTCCATTTAAACAAAAGTTGATCTTAACATAACCTCGAAGGCGAAGCTCATGCTCAAAACTTAGTAAAGGTTCGACCTTGACCTTTTTCAAAAATACCTTACCTGGAAAAATACAGAGCCATTTGTGAATTTTGTTAGACCAGGTATAGTGTCATTCAAAAGTTATTTAAGAGGAACAGATTTCCACGGAAAATGATAAATTGGTAAATATTGTATACCAGAACAGTTTACTATGGGATATGAGATATGAGAGAAGAAAATTATCAATAATAATCTTTCAATCTCTCTTTTGTCATTTCTACTATAAGATAAAGGATCAACATGCTCTGTTTTTCCACCTTTTAACAACAGTAAATTCAGTAAAGGAATTTCAAGAGCATGCATTCGTCACTAACTACCAAAATGTCAAACAACATGCACAGTGTAACCGACTTGTATCTCCGCAACATTTTTTATATGAAGTTGATTCTTCATTTTTGATTTCGTTATGTATTACAATCTTATTCTGGGTCACCCTGTATACGTATAACCAAACCAGATATCTAGATCGAATGACAGGAAATCTGCAGAATCTCGTTTCGCGATATTGAGAGAAAGCTGCATAGATTCGGTTTCATAATCGCTACAGTTGTCATTAATTATCTTAATAGCAGGCAATTATTTTCTTACCTCAACATAATTGACGGGAAACAGTCCAACCATCGCGTTCAGTTCACCTTCATACCAATTCTTGTCCACCTGTCGCCTTACGTAGATCAGATCTCCTTTCCTGAACGTTAGTTCCCGGGCTGTTTGGCCTACGAAGTTGTATAGGGCTTTGGCTACTAGCCGTGGTTCTAAAACAAAGAGCATAATACCTTCTATTATCGCAGTGTCACTGACCACACACATAACCTTTCAGGTATGGAAAACGTATTTGCTGGCTTTTAACAAATAACCTAGCTATTTCTCATCAGCTGTTAGTTGCAATCGAAGAGAGAAGAATGTTTCGTATTAAATCATGTCCAAAATGAATGGCTTCGTAGCTATTCTAGACCAGCTTGGTTGGTACTAAAAGGAGCTATTAGCTGATCTACCAGCCAGTTAAACTGAAGGTAAAATAAAGACAACAACAATGTGGTATTAGGGTGCTTCCTGGAGGGTGTCCCAAAATTCACACAATATTTGAATTTAACAGAAAATACACTGCCACGCAAAATTAACCGGACAAACAAAATTTTGTTCAAATTATATTTGAAATAACTTTTTAACTTTTGCATCAATTTCATTAATTAAAAAAAAATGTTTGTTATACAGGGTGTAACTAAAAGGTGCATTTTGCACTAAATTTCTGAACACCCTGTGGAAATTGACGCAAAAGTTACTTAAAATTTAATTTGAAGAAAATTTTGTTTGTCCGGTTAATTTTGCCTGGCAGTGTAGTTTTGTTTAATGTAACATCATGGAACTTTTACAGATATGTTATATTGAATGTTTACTAATGGCTAATGGTTACTTCGGTGGCCTTTTTCATAGTAGATGGAACATTTGTGTGCTCTAAACGTTAATAAGCATTCAACGTAACTTCTTAGATTTACATATATGCCAATGTGTCAGAATTTCGTTGAGATAGCGTTAATTCAATGCTGGAGTGTCTGTGAGCTTTTTAACAAAGATAGATCGTCTCCTTTAGATAACCAAAAAAAAAAAATAAATTCGATTGTCTTAAATCACATGGTCCAGAGATAGTATGTGTCATCAAGGACGCTGATGTCATTTGCAGGATGCGCTATTCAAGACATAGCTCTAACTTGTACTTTACGATTTAGTAAATAAATAACAATCTAAGAAAAAAACTGACATATTTTACTAATTATGATATGCAAAGAACTATATTTGAGAAGTTTTGAACTGCAACAAATTAATGCTTGTCCAGGCATGATTTGTCACAGACGAAGTTGCTTTAGTTAGCCTCTTTCTGAGCTCAGCTGTACGAGGGATGTCTTTTAAGTTTGCATATGGAAATAAAACAACACGATAGGTAGTTTTAAATCACTTTATTGTTTTTCGAAGTATTCCCCACGAAGATTAATACACATCTGCATGCGCTCGAACCAATTTTCGAAGCACTTATTCCACTCGTTTGCTGGCAGATCCAAAACGGCATTTTTGAATGCGTCAACTCCTTCTTCTGGTGACTGGAACCTTTGACCACGCAGTCTGTTTTTAATTTTCGGGAAAGAAAAGAAATCGTTAGGACTTAGATCGGGCTGTGTGCGAGCTTGGATTGTCTTGGTGGAGGATGATTCTTCTTTCGGGGTTGATTTTTCGAAGCTCGGTGATGACTTTTGGCAACAACCCCGCAGTAACAGTTCCTTGCTCATTAAAAGGAATTGTTGCAATATGACCCGCTTTTGACACAAATGTCGCGACCATCTTTTTCGAAACACTTCGAGAACGGATGACTTTTGTTGGCTTTTCTTCACCTTGGAACACCCAAACAGCCGACTGTCGTCTATTTGCTGGTTCATAACAGTAAATCCACGATTGATCACCACTAACAATGCTGTACACATTTTTTGAGTTTCCGGAATTGAAACGGTCAAGCGTTTTTTGACAACAATTAACCCTGGCTGCTTTCTGCTCTTCAGTCAACAGGTGGGGTATCCAACGAGAAACTAATTTTCTTATTCCCAATTCTTCATGTAACATTTTTTGAATTGAGGTCTTTGAGATCTTCAAGGACGCCTCAATCTCGCGATATGTCACATGTCTATCTTCAATGATGAGTTTGAGCACAGCATCGACGTTTTCCTGGGTGACTACCGTTTTTGGTGCACCCACCCTGGAATCTTCGCTAAGACTCACCCGTCCACGTTTAAATTCTCCATACCAATGGCAAATTGTCGACTCGGTTGAGTTCCATTTTTCTAATGACTTGGTGACACTTAAAAATTCACTGCAGTGATAACCCTGCACGCATTGTTGTGAAACCTTGAATTTAAGTTTAATAAAGGGTGAGGTTAAGATTCAGTACTGACGATCGATCCGCGCGGCCTGCTATGTTTCTATATGCAAAACTTAAAATCCCTCGTAGATGGGATGCACGAATGTGTTATAGAGACAATATTGGCACCAAAAGCGATCCGTCTCGTTGACATTGTGTGTAATCAATTATAACAAACATCTTACGGCGAGAAGGAAAATAATTAGCATCCCTGGAAGGCCATAGAATGGGAGATTGCTCTGAGTAACATGGGCTAATATTGCGAATTCAGAGTGAAATGAGTCAAACATACATACAGTTCTATCCAGATATCAAATAACTCACCTGGTGATCTAGGCCTGGGTTTCGCGGGGACCGCTAGGTCATCAAAGTCGTCGTATCGGTTTAGGGAAATCGGAGACTTTTGGGACGGTGTAAAGTTGTCTGTGTGCCTTCGGGAGTTCATGTCTTGGAGTTCCTGAAAATATTAATTAGGATACTTGTGTAATCTGCCTATTATCGAGGGCACGTTTTGTCAGATTCTCACTCGAACGTTATTAATAACTATCACGGACTGAATAATATAGCTCTAACGATTATTTGGTAATCTAGGTTAGAAATTCTAATGGGCAGGAAGTTTGGTTGTTGCTTACCTTGTATACTCGATATTTTCAATGCCAGGTACAGTACGTATTGTTAGAAAGGCATTGAGCATAAGAATTTACGATTATTTTACAATTTGGGGATGAATAAGCAATATATCATTTTTACATCCCAATATAGTTCAAAATTGGTATCTGTTTTACTTGGTTTAAATAGGGAATTGGAGGAGATATAACCCAAACAAAAACCCAATTCTTTAAGTAAAACATTTCTTATAATCCGAACGTTTTGCTTTATGCTATTTAGACTGTGTGCACGTGTCAAGTGTTTTTATTTCAATCATTTTAATTAGATCAATGCATAATTCATAATCAATGTGTTTGAATAGTAAGAGCGACATATGTTACGATGTAAGCTTTGCCCAGTAACTCCAATTGATTTAAATTAGATCTAAATAACAAGAGTTGATTTATATAACAACCTTATTCATTTGTGTTGCTCTTTTTTGAATGTTGATGTTTTCGCAATTAATTCAAGTAGTTTGGCACTGTCTACTACACTTTATAAAATTTTGTTCCACATATCACTCTAAGTGAAAAAGCGAATATATTAATGTGACATCTGATAGTTATCCTGAGATTGTGATGCTGACGAATCGTCATTCACCGTTGGCCACCAAATAAAACCACAGATATAGAACTGAATATATACTATACCCTATTCGCATTCTATTTACGCACCGGGACAACAAAGATGCAGCGCGGCCAGGATATTGGTCATTTGGCCATAAAACTACGAACAGGTGCAGGAACTTCCCACTATATAGATCATTATAATCAGTATAAAAACAAATTTATAGAACTTTTGAGAAAAGCAAAAAAAAATTACTATATAAAACAATTGAATAATAATTCACATGACTCTAGACACCTATGGTCCACTGTCAATGATATATTCAATAAGTCATCCTATTCAAAAAACAATATTAATGAAATAAAAACAAAAACCGGACAGAAAACAGACAATATTCAGCAAATATGTGATGAGTTCATAGAATTTTTCACGAATATAGGAGGAAACTTAGCAAATAATATCAAACAAAATGCTGATATTCATCTGCATGAAACAAGACTGAATAATTCATTTGTATTAACTGAAGTAGACTATCAGGATGTTTTCAATGCCATTATGACTCTAAAAAATAAAAAAAGCTCTGGAGTTGACAAAATTAGAGCTGAACATTTAAAGATACTGGCCAAACAAATAACAGAACCACTTGCTTATATCATTAACAAATCCTTCCAATCTGGAGTATTTCCATCAGCTTTCAAGACAGCAATCATCATACCTATCTATAAGTCTAATGATAATACGGACGTCACTAACTATCGACCTATTTCACTTATATCAAGTTTAGCTAAAGTTTTTGAGAAATTACTCCTTAATAAAATGATTAATTTTCTTAATAAATTCAAAATTCTAAATTCAAATCAATATGGTTTTATAGCGGGCAAATCTACAACAGATGGGGTATTAAGTATAGTAGATGAAATAACCCAAAATATAGATGGAAAAGTACCATCGATATGCGTATTTGTTGTGGACTTACAAAAAGCGTTTGACACAGTTAACCACAATATAAACTATGTGACATATAAATCCGAACACCCAGTTTAAATGGTTTTATTTTAATAAAATTTTGTATAAGTACTTAATGAAGCATAATAAGTAAATGATAAAAATTTCAAAATGATTGCACTGCTTTAAAGCCCTTTGACCTTTAATAATGTGTGGATGCACCCTGATGTGCTACGCATTCTCCAACGCGCCTAGGCATGCTTCTGATCAGGTGGTCAATGTCCTCCTGTGGTATCTCATTCCAGGCAACCACCAACTCCTCTCGAAGTGCTTCTAGAGTCGGAGGAGGACGTTGCAAATTGAGCAATCTCCTACCCATCATATCCCACACGTGCTCAATTGGGGATAAGTCGGGAGATCTTGGTAACAATGTGACATCATTATGTTGAAAGAAGTCTATTGTGACTCTTGCAACATGTGGTCGGGCATTATCTTGTTGGAAAGTTGGATCTGCCAGGGTGTCAAGATAGAGTAAAAGATGGGGTTCTAGAACTTCGTAGATCTAACGCTGCGGGTTCATGTTACCTCTGATGAAGATTAAAGGTGACCTGGAACCATAAGCTATAGCACCCCAAACCATAACTCCAACAGTGTGATGAACATGTCTTTCAACAAAAAACTGTGTATTAATCCTTTCACCACGTCGCCTTCTAACCCTGGCACGACCATCGTGCATGCCTAAACAAAATCGAGACTCGTCACTAAAGACAATACTGTTCCATTCCTGATCCCAGAGTGACCGTTGTCTGCACCACTCAAGGCGATTACGTCGGTGTTCTCGATTTCAAGGGAGGACCCAGTGTGGCCGGTATGAAAACAAGCCAAAACTTCTCATTCGTCGGTAAACACTTCGCATGCCAATAGGTCTTCCGTGTTCTGCAAACCATTCATTTGCAATGGACCTGGTAGTGGAGAAACGGTCCCTTAAGGCCAATAATATTAGGCGGCGATCTTCACGGTCTGTTGTTCTACGGCGGCGTCCAGTGCCCCTTGCTCTTTGCGTACGGCCTTCTCGAAGCCATGCCTGACAACACCTAACCACAGTGTCTACACTTCTTTGCACTCTAACTGCAATTGCCCGAAAAGAAAGTCCAGCTTCCCGAAGTCCCACTAAACGGCCCCTATCAAACTCACTAAGTTGATGAAATCGTACAGGTCTCCGTACTGTAGGCATCGTAACCGATCGTAAAGGATGTCAAGAACCAAAATCCGCCAACGTTGATTCTTTACTGCGGCTGAAATATTCATTTTTAGAGCGTTAGTGAATTAAAAAAAAGTAGTATAAAAACCGGAATGTCCAACTGATAAGGCTGAAAATTTTTTCACTTGTTATTTACAGTAAGATAAATACATTCACCAACTTTTATTAAAATAAAACCATTTAAACTGGGTGTTCGGATTTATATGTCACTTAGTATACTTTTGGAAATCTTAGAAAGAATAGGTTTTCGTGGAAAGATGTATACTTTAATGGAAAATTATTTATCAAATAGACCGCAATCAGTAAAATTATTAAGCTCGTATAGTAAAGAAATGTTTGTTAAATGTGTTCCACAAGGTACAATTTTGGGTTCTCTGTTATTCAATATTTATTTAAACGATATATTCAAAATTAACAGTACTGGTAAAATAGTCAGTTTTGCAGACGATACTGCTATACTCTATAAAGGTAAGGATTGGAACGACTTAAAAGATATTATCCAAAATGACTTTTGCAAAATTATTCAGTGGTTTAATAACCAAAAATTAACAATTAACTTTACTAAAACTCATTTTTTACCATTTTCATCACTATCTAATCATCTACCAAAATATAACCACCTTCGGTTTAAGGTAAATGATAAAAATATAAAAATCAATAGAGTTAATGATACAAAATATTTAGGAATTTATCTAGATCCCCACTTGAGATGGGATGTACATATTTCTCACATACTAAAGAAAATTAGATTCATAGCATATAAAATAAAATTTCTAACCGGTATATTAACTGAATATTATCTACGAATAATATATCAACCTTTAGTCGAGCCACACGTAACATATGGTATAGTAGTGTGGGGTGCTGCATGCACGACATACTTTAACGATTTAGATGTACTTCAAAGAAGAATTTTAAAATCAATGTTAGGCAAATCAAAATTATACCCAACTAATGATTTATATAATGATGCACAAGTGTATGATACTAAACAACTTTACTTCTTACATACCATCACTCATTATCACAAAACTATTAGTGAACACGACATAATTAAACATAATCATAAAACCAGATATAAATTACGCGCAAAAAATGTTCCTAAACCAAACAAATCCCTAATGAAACGATGTCACCTGTATATAGCTCCAAAATTGTACGAACATTTACCAAATAATTTAAAACAATTACGCAATACATTAGGCTTCAAAAAAAAAATTAAAAAAATTTATTAACACGATTGGGAGAAATCAAATTAATAAAATAATCTCAAATATTACACAATAAATGCTCTACCATTCTTACCAATAATTTCTTTTTTCTCTCTATTTTATTATATTTTGCAATTCAACATACATATGATCCATGCACAGGCGTTGTCCTGCTATGGATATATTATATTTATTTACTCGTTTCATGTTTCCTGTATTTTAGAGCAAATAAATATTATTATTATTATTATTATAGACAAAGTATTACAGGAAGTTAATCGTAACAAACACTAAACTCAGCTATATCTGGTGCAATTGGAATCAACACCTGTTAGATACTCTGCTTGTAACATTTCTTGAAAATTATATGAAACAATTATTTCCAGAAAAAGCAAAACGATTTGTTATCTGTCATATTGGCAGTGAAGATAGCTTTGTGCCCACTGCCCTATGGACATTTCAGTCAAAGAAAACGACCGACTACCATGAAGAAACGGACAAGAGTTCATTTGAACGATGGTTTGAAGAAACGCTCCCAAAGCTTGACGACAATGCCGCCACTTCTTTCTATAAAAATAATCATTTATTTTCTTAGATTATTCCAAGACCATTGAGGGAAATACGGACCTGTACAATCTCGCTTTTGGGTATGTTGTGTTTTGTCTGAGCGTAAATGGACTACGAATGGGGTATAATGTCACCGCTGTGGCCTTTTCAACAGTACAAACTAATATGAGTAAATTTGAATATTTGGGTACTCTTGTTGTATCTTCATATACATAGTTGACCAAATTTACAAAAAGAAAAAGGATTGAACATATTAATTACATTATACAGTTACAGGGGCGTAGTTTTTTGGAAATAAGTACCCAAAATGAATGGATTTGGTGCCATTCAGAAAACTTTGACAAACTGATACAAGCTGTCTAGACTTACGTATGATGCTTAATCTAGAGTACTCATAAAAACTACTCTGGATCGGCTCCTCCATGAGAACACATTATTGTATAAGTACTAAAATTCCAAGCCTGATGAGCAGATTTGTAAAACAAGGCAAGCATTAGGCAGTTAGTCAATAATTCTTTACCTCTCAACCTCTCAAATGAAATATGTCAAAATTTCCAAATGTCCCCTCGCCAAGGTACTGAGAGTGAGTGTCAGTGTTAGGTACACATAACTAGAAAAAGGAGGGAAAAACCCAATAAAGGAAGGATTGGAATATAGTGTAATCGATCAGTTGGATAGCTCTCGAACTAACACCATCAAGTATCGACTGCGTAGTTGGAGCAGTATCACCCCAGATGTGCGAACAGTATTCCAGACAAGGTACCCTATCTGTCTCAAAAAAATCCTTGCACTCTGAATTCATCAATGCTATGGGCTCACAAGGGTAAAACTGCAGATTGGATTCATCGTATTTGCGACCTTCTAGTCCTCTGGGATGACCCCCAATTCATAGTCAATTTACCTAGCTCTTGAAGGTATAATGACGTTAACACCGCAATTACTGGTTACCTGTGATCCAGGCTTTTCAGCAATGTACTGACAGTCATCAAAATGGCTCAGCTTGTGCGAACAGCAGGTATAGTCACGCGGACTTTATGTAAATGTTCTTTTATTAAGCACAATACAGTTTTGTTTTGCTGAGTTCCTTCAAATAATGGGGAGTTTCTGCTGTTCACTCATTTGAAGCGAGCAGTGCTATCATAATCTTTATTTCGGTGTAATATACGTATAGTTCAAAAATAATAAGAACCTCATCTTTGCCAGACATTGATATATCATATGTGCTCTTTAGTTTTCTATAAAGATTGTATGCTTCAGAACAACAATAATACATATGCAGTATGTTACAATGAGTAGTACACAGCTAGGACATCGCACGCAGTACAACTGACAGTAGTCTACCGACTTAGTCTGTCTGGTGATGGTTCCTTAAGAAACGGTGTTACCGGTTGGAATGCTGTCTACTTTGTGTGATTTGATAAATCGTTGGTAAGGAGTGACAGATCGAATCCCTTAATTTGGCAGGCCAGTGTTGCCAATTACGCTACCGATAATAACCGGCTGTGTAATCTTGGTAAAAACATACTGTATATTTACCAGTACCAATTCAAATACAAAATAAACAATTTCATAATATAAAGATAAAACTGGCTGCAAAGGTGTAATCAACGAACAGAAACGTTGGAGCTAAAGCCAATCCCTGAGCAGTATCCGAGTAGACATTATCAGACTGGAAACAAAAGAGATTTTTTCGCGAGATCCCGTAGTGAACCAGAGCGGGAACAGATGGAATTTCCCCTTCCTCTCGAAGTTTTGACAGTTTCATGTTACACCGAGTGTAGTTAGATGGCGCATGTTGCCCAAAATATTTGCTTTGAGCTCCTTGATAAACTTAGCTACCTTGTTTGAATCTGAAATAAAAAGACCGATCGTTTTTTGTGCAATGTACATATAAATCAATAAAATCAATCATTTGATATGACAAATGCGGTTCATATATCTTCGATAACCTTCTCCATCGTCATTTAAAATTAGGTGGACGTGTTCCTCCATTTATGATGTAATCATTTAACTCAATTTTCGGCACTGCGAAGACAAATTTTCAATTGAGATGCTTATTTTTTAAATGACATTGACATAAGACCTGTCACCCGCTAGTACCTTACAGACGTTAGGGGGGTACCCGTACCACGTGATTTTTTGACATTCGGACGATGTCACATCCGCCTTCTCCTATTCCCGTTCTTCGCAAAAATTTAAGTATCGGTTCCCGGTAGTGCACTGTGCTACACCGTGGACTCGCGAAAAAATCCTTAGAGTCAATCACCCAACTGCAAAGCGCTGTGGCAGGCTACAAGATGAAGGTTTGCATATAAGGCAGCTTGTCACGCAAGAACGGATAGCAGAAATCGGCGCCCCCCAGACGTACATGGCCCATGTCTGCCACTTTTTTTTCAGGAATTAATATACCAATATTATTCTATGCCTTGGAGTTAAAATTTACCTTGTCGGATGTGAATCGTGAGACGTGCGCCTCCCTAGACATGTTCCACCCCCCGCTCTTAATTTTAATCGCCGATAACCTGGAGACAAACATCTTTCTGAACATGAATGCTATGGTTATCGTTGCGCCGCCCACCTTAGAGAGATTCGCAAGTTCGCCCTTGTGGTCACTGCTGATCAAAAGCCATGGGATTATCGAGGGCAAAAGATATTTCTTGAATTTGTTGTTTTGAATACACGCACACTGTAGTTCCAATTCGAAGGAAGAAACTTTAAAGTTCGAAAGCTCGTGACCTCATGGCTTTTATTGATTGGCCAATCAGATGACTGTCTAAACAGAATTCAGATCCTTCTTTCTCTAGTTCTGTGCAACTTGAGCAATTCACAGCAGCTGCATATGCCGGCGGGTCAGTTCGCAGCAGAAGAGCAGCAACAGCACACCATCACACACCGTCCTGTACTCTACCTCTATACGATAACTTACATGGAGGGACTTGCTAACCTGCAGGTACTTTTTCCTTCGTTCTTCGTCGTAGACTCGTCGAGCGGTGTTCGCGTGTCTTTGGGCCAACTCGTCTTCGCTCAGGTACCCCTTCACCTCTTGCCGGACCGGGGTGCGGTAGTGGATGGTCACCTCGTTCTCCACATACTTCCGAGGTGATTCTGCACAAATTTAGAATTGCGAATTAGTCGAAACAATAGTTGGTCCAATATATTGATCTGTAAGGCTCGGTTTTTGAATCGCAAGTTAGCTGTAACTTGAATGCTAAACGGAAGTCGATTCTCACAAAACGGTTTTCAATATCAAGTTTCTCTTAAAGTGATAGTTAATTTCCACCAGAGGACTATGTATGGGATATCTATGTAATGGGTGATTTTTTTGCTAGTATCTCTTTGGCAACACTGTTTTTGACAGATGACGCGTGAATCGTGTCTTGTGTCATTGTCAAACTCGTTCAGTTTGATCTATAATTTAACCATGAATCGACTTATGACCGAACAACGCTTGCAAATTATTGAATTTTACTATCAAAATTCATGCTCGGTTAAGAGAGTGCATCGAGCACTGCTTTCAATTTATGGGCAATTTGGTCGGCCTACTGAGGAAGCTATTCGGAAGCTTGTAACTAAATTTCGAACCCAGTTTACATTATTGGACATTAAACCACCAACACGCAGACGTAGAGTGAGGACTGAAGGAAATATTGCGGCTGTATCCGCCAGTGTTGGTGATGACCGTGAAATGTCGATTCGCCGCCGTTCGCAGCAATTGGGCCTCTGTTACTCCACTACGTGGAAAATTTTGCGACAGGATTTGGGTGTAAAACCTTATAAGATACAGCTGGTGCAAGAATTGAAGCATACGACCTCCCACAACGTTTCCAATTTGGTGAATGGGCGCTGGCAAAGTTGGAGGAAGATCCACATTTTTATCGAAAAATTGTGTTCAGCGACGAAGCTCATTTCTGGTTGAATGGGTACGTTAACAAGCTAAATTGCCGCATCTGGTGTAAAGACCAGCCAGCAGCATTGCAAGAGCTACCAATGGATCCCGAAAAAATCACTGTTTGGTGTGGATTATGGGCCGGTGGCATCATCGGGCCGTACTTCTTCAAAGACGACAATGGCCGGAACGTAACTGTGAATGGCGAGCGCTACCGTGCGATGATAACAAACTTTTTTTGCCCAAAATGGAAGAGCTGGACTTGGCTGACATGTGGTTTCAACAAGACGGTGCCACATGCCACACCGCACACGAAACAATGGCCCTATTGAGAGGCAAGTTCGGTGAACAGTTTATCTCACGTTTGGGGCCCATCAATTGGCCGCCTAGATCGTGTGATTTAACGCCGTTGGACTATTTCTTGTGGGGCCATGTTAAACCTAATGTCTACAGGCATAAACCAGCAACGATTGACGCACTGGAAGCCAATATTGAAGCATTTATTCGTCAGATACCGGCCGATATGTTGGAGAGAGTGTGTCAAAATTGGACCTTGCGCTCTTGCGCATGGGCCATCTAAAGCGGAGCCACGGCCAACATTTATATGAAATAATCTTTAAACATTAAATTATATCGACCGAACTATCGACTCAAATAAAGATTTAATCGTTTTTTCAAATTTTTTGTGTTTTTTTTGAAAATCAAATCCTATACCCCTTAAAAAATCACCCGTTTGTTGTAGTCAAACTGCTGTGTCTAACCTAATGCGCTTGACAATGACACAAGTTGTCATGAATGATACGAGACACAAATACCGAATATCACGAAAAATATAGAACTCGATAATCCAGGCGCTGCTGCATCAACGGTTTATTGATTGTTAACCAGAACTTGAAAAACAAATTCAGAGGCAACTGATTTCCAAGACATAATCATGTACCTAACTTAAAAGTTAACCAGCGATTGAAAAACCGGGCCAAACTTAGAACCCGAACATACGTCAATTCTTGGTTAATTCAGATGTATGGCTCGATATAGTAAGTTGTAGTCACTGTTCGTGGCGAGTCAAAGTAAGACTACCAGTATCCCTTTATATATCTTCATCTCTCTCATACATACACATGTAACATGAACGTTTGTTCGGTAAGCTCAAAATAAAAAAGTGCTGACTACCACTATTCCATGGACAACGATTCTTTCAAAAAATGAGTATGTGAGAAGCTGGTACCAGCGTTACAAGAGCCATCTTTAGTAATCATGGATAATGCCTCTTATCATAGTGCCGTAACAGAAAACATGCTCAATTCCAGTTGGAGTAAAATGCAATTGAAGCAAAGGCTGCAAGACAAAAATATACATTTTGATGATGACGCTTTTAACCTCGAGCTCTTAAATCTATGTCGCCTTAATAAACCATCGGCTCCAAGATATATCATAGACGAAATATTACATGAACATGGCCATCAAGTTTTGCGGCTCCCACCTTACCATTGTCAATACAACCCTATTGAGTTAGTCTGGGGAGTAGCCAAACAGTACTATGATCGTCATATTGTGGAAAATGGCTATGGTGATAAGGAAGTTTTGAAAGTTTGGGACGATGCTCTAGCGAAGGTGTCTCCTACAGTTGTGAAACATACCGAGGACTTGATTAAAAAAGACTGGATCAAGCATCAAGTGTTTAATAGGGAGGAGACTAATATAATCATTCACTTGGAAGAAAGTTCAGATGACTGATGAAGAAATCCAATAATTTATACTTTTATTGAAACAATTTTGAGAATTTATAATTCTTAATTTTCTATGTGTACACCTTAATGTAGATTGTTAAATATTTTGATAGATATGGAAGTTACAAGCCTGATGTTTATTAAAGCGAGATAGATTTAAAAACTCGAGTTTAAGAGCATCATCATCAAAATGTATTTTTTTGTCTAACAGTAATTTATTTAGTCGTATTTCACACCAGGAAGAATTGAGCATTTTTATGATTAAAGATGGTTCTTCTAAAGCTCTCATAAACTTGTCACATATCCACATCGAATGTTAAATGTTGTATTTCATATGGCGTTGATGACGTAAACGCCAAGAACGGTGACTATAACTATAGAATCAGGAGTGTGTGCATGGTCTCGAACTTATGGGTGTCATTGCAATTTATACATGGAATATTGTTTTTCTCAATCAAGAAATGTCTCAAGTGACAATAATTCCCTCAGGCGTACCTCATGGCTCTGTATTGGGGCCGCTTTTGTTCCTCATATATACGTTCGACTTAAGCAAAAGTATTGATAATTCTCATGTCCAGTCATTTGCAGACCATACGCAATTGCTCCATTATTTTAACCCAGATAATGTCCATAATACTACTCAAATTTTACAAAACGATGTTAACAAATTAATTAAACACTCTTTAGATCACAATCTACTTATTAATCCACAAAAATCTAAAATGTTATTATTTTGCGCACAAAGAAAAACATACAATGTAACACAGCTTTTGAACATTCAAATAAATAACCAAATTTTGCAATTTTCTGATTCTGCAAAAATTCTTGGTGTTGTTTTTGATACAAAATTAAGGTTTATTGAACATGTTAAAAGTCTATCTCAAAAAACCTACATACGGCTGCGCACTCTTATAGCAAACAGGTATTTACTAAATTTTAAGTTGCGTAAAAAACTATGTGAAGCATTGGTCATATCTATACTAAATTATTGTAATATCGTATACTATACTTGTTCAGACAATTTCACTAAAACACGTTATTCAAGTTACTCAAAACACTTGCATACGATTCATTTTTGGCTTACGTAAATTTGATAATGTATCAGCGAAATATCCCGTTCTAAACTGGTTAAAAATTAATATCATGGTCAAGTATCACTATTCAGTTTTTGTTCACAAATTGCTGCTCACGTCTAAACCTTATTACTTGAAGGAAAAAATTTCATTTAATAATGATGTTCACTGTAGAACTCTCAGAGAAAATAATATTAGAATACCCCTGCATACGTCTACACTTTTTAAACGCAGTTTTTCTTACAATGTTGCTATTATTTATAATGACCTTCCTAAAGTATATAAAGAATTTTCATTACCTGTCTTTCGACAAAAAGTTAAAAAATTATTACTCATCCCTCCAAACATATAATTTACGTAATCATTCATTTCTTTTTTATTCCATCTTTAATTCAGATTAATAATTGTTTGGTGCATTTGGATTTGGATTTTTAAATTTTACTTTCGATGTAATGAACCAAATATGTTTGTGGATAGTGTTTTCTTTTGAACATCTGCTAGAGACTATATGGTTAAGTGTAAGAGTAGCAGCATGCTAAACTTCGCCATATAAGTCTGACATTTGGCTATACTACAATGTAATTGTGGATAAATAAAGACATCTATTATTATTATTATTATTATTATTATTATTATTATTATTATTATTATTATATCGCTTTTTCTGCAACACCGTTTATTTGTAAATTCAGATGATTGATTTCTTTGGCAATCCATTTATCTATATACTTCTCAACAGAAACAAGGATCCAGTTACCAAACATGTGATGAAAAGCAATAAATAAAAAAGTACCATCGATCATTATGATACTAAAAAACCATGCGTCTACTAGAAATCTACCACAAAGACCATTGGTGCAGGAGCAGCGGCCGAAAAATTAAACTAATATGCTTCCTGAAGATAAGATTGCGCTTATTCATAAAGATACATGCTGGAAAGCCCAGCAAATTTAAGGTAAAGAAGTTCTTTTAAGAATGACAATATTCTTATTTACGCAATTGACGAAGAAGTATTGTAATGAGATTCGTTTCCGTCGGCATGTCCTTTCACTAATCCATGACTCTTGACTACACTATAGCTTGGAAAGTATCACTCAGATTTTGAAGAGACTTTGAAACAAATTTACTATTATGTTAAGATAAAAATAGTTTTGAAGTAGCACAAACTGCCACCTATTACCAGAATTGACCACAGTGGTGACATGCCTGTTAAATGCGAATTGGGATACAGTTCCAATTCTCAGCTTGCAATTTTCACTCTCACAGTTGTCGATTCTGATGATAGATGGCACCTTGTGCGATGTATAGATAGGCGTCGCATCACTATCCTGGGAACGGTTGACCCTAAAAGTTGCCGGAATACAAAGTATTCACAAAACAATCAGCAGCATAAATATTATACAGGGTGTTTCAGTT